ACACTTTTAAAATGCTTTATAGCATGGGCTTTCAAGAGAAAGACCATGTTTATAGGCGTCGTCTTGTATTGATAGTAGCCGAGACAACACAAGTCCCAAGTCTGTATGTTTACTCTCATTTCTTCACTTTTAAGAGTTAAGTCATCATATTTTGCATGCATATTCCTTGAAGAAATCCTAACATAGAATTTTATTGGTTTCGATTATAATTTATTTGTTAAAAATCGAGAAACGTTTGATTTGTATTGGTCCATAATCAGAATTATCCATTTTGTGTAACAAATGCAACATTTTGACGTCATTAATAAAAATTGAAGTTATAAATGATAGATACAATATGGTGTCTCTAATCTTATTGACAATAACTATCATCCTAGATATTTTTGCCAGTCATCAGATCATGCATTGGAAGAGTACCCCAATGAGAAATGCATTCATTGATTGTGGCAAGCAGTGAATTGGCAAAACAGTGGTGGAGTCACACCATCAATTGTTATTGGACTTCAAACAGAAGTGAAGGTTACACGCAAATGATATATCCATTGCATGGAGTAAGTAATTATCTTAGATATAACGAAACATATGAGTTAAAAAATAAATCGTGAAGCATTCTTATTGTTTTTATGAAAAATAGCATGCTCCGTCACAGCGGACAAATCTTTCGATACTAGCCTGTGATATCTAGAATGGAGGAACCCCATCTTAGACGCAGCAGCCGAAATCACATCAAGACAATAACGGTATCTGTTATCACGTATTATCTAGTTAGATTTTATTTTCAAGTGCAGATTTTATTTTTCAAGTGCAGATTTTATTTACAAGTGCTCATCACTAAATCGAACCATAGACTTTCACAAGAGAGTCGGAGAGTCTTGAAAGCCCATGACCGAACACAATGTATTGTATTATTGTACGAAGTTTTATCAAAATTTACCCAATAAGTCTTCATATGTAGTATTACGTTGTCATTTATTTAATTGGTTACGCTTTGAGATTATGAGATTAAGTCTTAAAATCGATGTTTTTAAGCCGGTGTGAAAGAAATGATGGTCCCCCAGGGATTATGGTCCCCTTTCTTAACGGCCCTTACTGGCCCTGATTGCGTATAAGATAATTAGGAAAAGAGTTGTATTTAGGTCACCATATAAATCAATGGAGAGTAGGACCATAATTTGATGGGACCTCCTACCCTTTTACACCGGCTAAAATCCCCTGTTGCTTCGACTTACAAATATCTTCCGACTGCTCTGCTCTGCGGCAATTTAGAATCGAAATAAATGATACATTTTGGGACTTGTTGCTCCAAAAATTGGTATATCAGATCAGCCTTTATGAATAATCTTCATTAATTATTCCACCAAGGCGAGTATTCTGGATGTTTCAGTAGACTCACTTTCAAAACTTCCATTTTGTCCACGCAAGCCTGATAAGAAGAATCTATGATACTGAGAAATCCAAGGTTGAACCCTGACTCTCCCTTTGGTTCAACTACAGTATCGGCTTCATGGCCAAATGTTGCGATGTCGGAATACTCCGAGAGCTTGTCAAGGTCGATAAAATCGGCAACTTTTCCAGAACCAAAAGTAGCCATATACACGTACAACCCGTATCGGTCGGGTTTGTGTGTAGGGGTTTCTGGAATTACACCTCTGCTGATGTTAAGGTGTGCCTCAATGATATCTCCCTTGTTTAACACCTCATCGTACAACTTGAACATTAATGGGAAACTTCTCCCGTTCATCTCCATTAGCTTGATGGTTCCGTCGCTGAAAACGAACACCTCTGCATCGACAAATTCGTTATCAAAGCCATATTTTTGAAGATTTTCAACAAGCGCTACGTACACTCTCCACATGTTGTCTTGTGTTTCCTCTGCCAGGACTGAGGGAAGGCCGACTCCCTGAAAACATTGGGGTCGGTGCTTGAAGTAAATATTATCGCTTATAGCCCAAGGGACTATTTTCCCATGCCCAACGATACCGTCTATTGTGTGTATAGTTACCGGCGTCTTTCCAATGTCTACGTACTCTTCCAGCATGACGATTCCACTCAGAGCTTGTGGATAGAGGTCCAAGTTCAGGAACTTCTTGATTAGACCCCGAAACGGTTGTAGAACCACCTTTATGTCATCTTTGATGAGATTCATGTAGTTTCCGAGACTTTCCTCGTCTGAAGCGATTCCAACCAAACACGATGTCGTCCCCATGGCGGGTTTAACGAACACAGGAAAGTCATTTGGAGCAGTTAACATCGCATGTTTGCTACTGAAATCGAACTTCATCACATCAGCGCAGTCATAGTTAACATTCACGTTTGCTTTGGAACCAATCAAAAGTCTGGTGTAGTATTTGTTAAGACAGACAAATGAACCTTCGAACGCTGGCCCCGTTAGGTGAGGAAATGTCGCCACCAGCGCCGCTTGGACAAGGCCGCCAACGTCAGCGACACCTATCACGCAATCTATATTCTCCGAATTCACAATCACAGATGCGTTTCTGTAAATAACTTCCAAATCAACTGGCTTTTCTACAACATATAAGTCCCAATAGAAAATAAATGTACAATTTTTGTATGATCCCCGGTCCTGTTTTGTCCTAATGTGCCTCTTCACCGTTGTGTCGTAATGTTTTCCCGGGGCGACTACTAAGATACGTGACCGCTTTAACTCCTTTGTGTCATGCTCAGCCTTTATTGTATTTTCCATGATGCTTGTTGGCGGACATACGAACACACTGTACATGCACTTTTTATCGACTTATATTAAATCCGTTTAAATACGAAGCTAGGTCAACTTAACTCACGAGTGACAAACACACGCTGATCTTGAGATATCGATGTATTTGTTGAACCCTACTTGAAAAGAGATCCGCTTGAAACTAGTATTTTCGTATTTGTTCTTCAATCATTAAGCCAATGTTAAGTTTGAAAATAAATTTAATCTTTCCAATATTACCTTTCCCGACTTTTAAAACATTTATTCATCTATTCATCTTCTGTTCAAATATTTTAACTCCCTGCCATTTTAGAATTTAAATGTTTAGATGTTAGATCATGAAATACAACTTAACATTGTACTTTAAAACACACCATTTCCTCTATTACATTGAATAGTCCAGATCAAGCAAAGTTATATTATTTCATCCATATAATCTTCAACGATTCTACGATTTTATGTAATATCATGAGGAAAGGGGCTTTCAAATATCCTTAATACAGAATCCTATGGAAGGCGGGCAAGTATTAAAGGTCATCAACTACGTCATCGAGGGAATTTCCATATCCCATCGATCTGGTTAATCTGGTTTTATATTTGACAACCGTGACTTCAGACTGTCATAGATGTTCTGTAAATCAAACTTGCCAAGTGTGAAGGTAATATCCTAGATTCTAAAATGTTGAAGTATACAGAAGGATTCCATTTCGTTTTGCAAAAGGGTATTCCCCGTTTTCACCAACTACGTCATCGACGGAATTTACGAACGCCTTTTCGTGCCGTTAGAGTTGATAACAACGTTTTTCGAACGTCGTGCTATATCTAATATGATCCTTAAATACTGTTCATTGTAAGAGTCCATTTTGTTGTTATACACATTCACAACTAATTTATCTTAGAAAGTGAACTTGGGCCTTTTTACGATAACTACAATATCGAAATTGTATTGAGATACACATGGCAAATATTTCTCTATGATTATTTTGAGAAACACATTATATTCATTATATTATATTATTATCACGGTGTTCAACCCAAACGCTCTAACATGCACGACGGAGCGTTTCATTACTGAAACTAAAAAGAAACGCTCCGGAGTAGGAAATATGGCGGGCGGGAATGATAAGCCGTCTGACGATTTCCCAATAATGGGTATAAGAGGTATGTGTTACTTATTTCGAGTATACCATTCGATGGGTGTGATATTCATGTTGTACTTGGCTGGCTCTCTGAAGCAATGAAACTGTGCGAAGCAGTATAGTTATCAAAATTCATAAACGTATTTGTCATTCTTCCGGTCAAAACCCCTATTGTTGAGACATGTGATTTGTTGAGTCACGATAAGAGCATCAGCGTATATTTTGGTCAAGTTCCAAAACTTCCAAAACACACCATACATTATCGTAATTGTGATTTGATGACCGAAAATCCAGTCTTAAAAATAATGACATTCTCATATTCAAGAAACGCTGCGACCTGGTTAACACAGTGAACTGGAAACGCTCCGGTACTAGTCTAGATATGTTTAGGAATTAGCTTGAGTTTTCCTCATTGAAAATATGTTGCTTCTAATATTTTCAAATGATCGTATTGAAAGATGGGGTTCCTCCATTCTAGATATGTATAATCGCGCAGCTCGTGAGATTTTCGACCTTTATACCACCACAATTACAAGATGCCTCGATCGAGCATTCCCGAGCACCTTTATACGAAATTCAGTAAAACTAAGGACCTATGATTTTTAAAACGCCAAAGCATGGGAATGTCGATTTTCAAAAATTTATCATCAATTTTCGACCTATTGTAATTGAGGAGAAAATTAAGAAAATTTGGAGTTATTGGAAATAAAGTCAAATTTATGACGTGCACGGACCTGGGGACAATTCGGGCTAATCTCAGCTTTGAGCGTTAATCTCTGCCTTATTTAAAAAGCTAACTATGTGTTTTATATATCATTTTGAAGTATTTTTTATTCGCATTTCAGTGAAATTATTTTTCCTTCAAAATTTTGATGGGATCCAACATTTTTTTAAAGTTAAAAATATCCCGACATCGTCAAATACGCTGTAAGACGTAACACTTTACGCTTATAGGGCTCGTTGAAATTGGGATAACTTTTGAAATAATTATCAAAATCCCACTAAAATTTCACAATTTATTCAATGGAACATGTTCATTTATGACGTCACAATTGCTTAACGGCTCCCGCTCAAATTAACATATATGAACGCTTTTAAAATTTTCAAAATTGTGTAAGGTTTTGAAGGCGAATGGGACGAGCAATACGTTCACCTTTATTTAACCTTCTAATCTAAGTCTGATTTGAAAGAAAAATTAACTGCACAATATTGTAATGGCGAAATTTACAAAACAATAATCAGTTTGTTTATTTTGCAAATAATATTAAAATAAGAGCTGGTTTTCGAGACTTGAAAAAAATGTGACGCATCGATTTTTTACCACAAATTCCATACATATCAATTTTTACCAACGCCCCAAGTAGATTTCTTGACCGTTTTTCAAAATTCGAAAACATTTTAGAAATACTGTCCTCGAGATCTTGCTACCCTGTGAATTTTGTGATGATTAGATAAGGATAAAGTATTTTATTTTTAGGTTGACTAAACTAGACAAAAATGTGACGCTTGTCGTTTTTGACGTTGTAAGGCTGTTTGCGCCCTATGCAGCTCATTGTTTTGTCTTGGTTTTTGACGCCATAATGTTACGCTAATTGTCCCCAGTTTCGTGCGACGTGTAATTACGTTTCCATCAATAGTATAAGTATTTTCACAGCAGGATAAAGTAAATGGAAATTCAAAGGTAAAGAGGCTTTCACACGTAGTTCAATGGGAGAGCAAAGGTTGCCAAACGTATGGACTCCGGCTTATGAGACACTTTTTATATATATCAAAGTATTTACTGTGTTTGTTGACATGTTTTCTCAGAATTATGTATTGAATAATAATGATTAAGAAAATGTATATAATTCAATACGATCATTTGAAAATATTAGAAGCAACATATATTGAATGAGTCTCGTGTCAACAACAATAATTAAACAAATATGTAAGATACTACCATGCAACTTCACCTGTTATAACCTCGACCCGACACTTAGTACTACTCAGTATATAGTCCATGGTAAGACTTCCGAATATTGAAGGATCCGTAGCACACTATAGCGCAGCAACATTTGAAGCAATATTTATGAAGGTGTGTATGTCTTTTAAAACACCATTTACTGAAAAAACTTCCTGCTTTCGGGTTAAAAATGTCTTTCATCACAAGGGGTCAAAAAACGTAAATATTTTGATTCAAACTTTTATACATTTTATAAGACACAGAGCGTTATTCTAAGCATACGAACAAAAAATAGATTATCATAATGTAAAAATATACTATAATTTTACTGTAGATGTCGGTATTTAATTAGTGTAATTACGCAAGTGTGTTTTCTAGATTTTGTTGGATTTTTCAAACATGAGCCAAGCCCATTCAACAAAATTGTGTGGAATATTTAGGTAATTTATGATTGGGAACATGTACGTTTTCTTACCATTTAAAACATTTTATTACCAGAATTTGTCCATATAATCGCAAGGGGTCTAACAACAAATTATTGTTCCTGTTTTGTAAAACATAATACAATAACAAATAGGTAAGATTTATATCTAATTAAATGTCATAGAGGTATTGGAATGTTCATATATTCCAAGGGCATATCTAATAATCAATTAGAGTCATATGCAATCGAACGCCTTACAATTCTTCCTCGACGTTACTTGTGCCTATCATCAAGTTTTCTGATGGCAGTTTCTTCTTTGACCTTACCGCTGGATACAATAAAATTTTAGGAAGATAATGATAACGATTTTTCTCAATTATTCCTGAATTCGACCAAGTCTTGATGGTTGTTTTATAAGCAACTGAGCTATACCTAACTACGAGAAATAGAATTTTAGCTGTAGTCCCAGTTACTCAAGGAAGAGCAATAGGCCCTCCTCTATTGATAATGTTCACCGCTGAATAAAAGTCCATATCTCAAAACTAATTGAGACCCATTTTGTGAAAAACTATCATAATTTAAGCATTTGATATTCTTATATATAAGTGATTCATGTGTAGCATTTATCTTATAAATACCTGAGAAATAATACAAAACGTTGATACACTGATTACATAATTTTTTGGTATTGATAAGAAAAATAACCTCAAACTCATAGCTCAGAAACCTAAATCATATATTTAAAATCATTTTGTATTATTTTGTGTTGCATTGTGTACTCCAAATTGTGAAAAATTGGGATTTTATTTTTTGGTAATTTTGGACCTTTTAGGCATAATTCAGCCTAAAAGCCGGAAGTATATTAAACGGATTTCATACCATGGACTTATACTTCAGTACAAAGGTTATTTATCATGATGTCGTATTTAACGGGAGGGTTCATTGTTCAAAATCCACTTTGGCCCATATAGATCACTGGAATGGTGAAAACTGCATGAATTTGAAAGAATTTGTAGGCAAGTTCCTGCCCCCTGGCTACGGACCTGTACTTCACCAATGAAGACATTATGGGGATGTTCAACCATTTCGGGGTTTAGTCAATGAGTTTCTGAACTTGGACCTATAATATTTATAAGCTCTGGGTCAACGATAATTTCATTAGGCCATTATTAACGTTGATTACCTAATATCGACCCATGTTATACAAGATGACGAAATTATAGTCTTCAGTATTATCGTAACTTCCCATATACTGTATATATGCATATAACTTGCCATATATATATTTCTTATACAAGATGACGAAAGTTCGTTTACCTTTGTACTCTACATGTGAACTTGAACCGGCTAACCTGGGATTACTTAACAACACATACCAATACGTAGGCTAATAAATCTACTTAATATTTTTCTTATTTTTGAAATATACATGTATTTTTATTTTATTATAAGGTGAATACGTACTCAAATTGAGCTACATTGTAAATATATATGGGGCTTTTTACGACAATTAATATATCGAAAAATATAAAACTGAAATAGAATTTAAAATACAAATATGGGAACAATTTATTTCTTTAGCGGCATCATCGTCCACATGTTTTCCTCAGATTGCTGATTTTGGAATATCAAGGAAATTAAAAATTATGTAATTTCTTTTTGATGTTGATTGAGTTGGGTAAAGTAAGAAAGGAGAATGTTCAAATCAAAAATAAATATGTGTCCTCGAGATTATGTATTGAATAACCATATGATTTAAAATGTATGTAATTCAATACGAATCCGTTTGAAAATATTGGCCGCATAATATTTGGAATGACCCCTATGTCAATAACAATGCCTTAACAAATATGTAAAATACGTTCATACAATTTCACCTGTGATGACCCGATGCTCTTACTATAGCGCAAAGGTACTTGAACTAATAATACAAGTTGTACAAAGTACAAAGCTTTATCTTCTGCCTGGCCATATCGCAAAAAATAAAATTGTGCTACAGAGCCAAAATATGCCAAAGCTAAATGTGCTAAATTCAAATCCGACTTTTTATAGTCTTGCTCAAAGACTGTATCCACACCCCCTCCCCTCACCTTCACTCTCTTTACCTGGCAATATACAGTCCCTAGAGAGAAGGATAAAGGGGGGGGGGAGTACAGGGTCTTTTAAGCAAGACTAGACTTTTTAAAGCTATGCCTTTTAAGAAAGCACCTGAGGGTTTTAACCGGACTTTAGTTTCAGGTGGGATCACGATTGCGATTTAAGAAAAGTGCCTGCTTAGTAGACCAACTAGACCCCCTACCACTAAATAATCCCTATTAAGTCTTGATGCGCTTTGAGAAGCAAATGTAATTACCCGGCTTTTTATACCCCATATCCTGAACGAAGTTCACATCACGTTCCTGTAATTGAAATTAAAGATTTAGGTGATGTTTGATTGAAATCATGGATTACCAAGGAATATAACTGATCATTTCGGTAAAAATGGTGACCTTTACCCCTCAGAAATGGAGATTGTGTTCCACAACACAGCTAGTTTTGCGTGCCATGCGGCAGCACCTAGTCTCTAGGGCATTGATTTTACTTTCTATAGGTACTATTCGTATACTTGTGGATAGAGTGGTTATAAAACCTTGGCGACCCAACCTCCTTTGTTTACATTCGCAAAACTGTGAAAAAACTAGAAAAGTTGTCAAAACGTTTTCAAAACTCAATAAATGGAACCGATTTCACTTGTCAGGTACTGGTATACTATTTTAGTTCTACATGAACTGAGCAGGCCCGTGAGCAGGTCAATGCCGTTCGTAATATTCTCAAATGAACTATTTCTCCAGTTGAAGACATTCAATCATAGACCACGTGTTACACCGGAATGATTATCTAATCTAAATTATGATAATCTATTTTTCGTTTTTTATAGTGTGCTACGGGCCCGGGGCTACGGGTCCTTAAAGAAATGAATCAATTGGTAGCCATTCCAAGTGGAAATTTAGTGCTGCCTCCTATAAACCAGTGTCGAACTACATCTGATGCCCATCGGATAGATGCTAGACTGCGAAGGCAACGGCCGTTAATTAAATGACACTTCTGCAAAATGTATTACAACAGTCCAATGATATTAAATGAGGGCATGAAATTAAAAACCAAGTGTAATTCCCAAATTAAACTTAAAACGCTTTAGAAATTTAAGTGTAATATCTGGATATCCAAGTTTGTATAAATAAGAAATAAATACAATTGATGCCCATTTTTATCTAGCCAATAGGTGAGTGGTCCCAGAGCTCAAAGTTGTTGAAGTACGCATACGTATCTCTTGTACTTCTAGCAATGTATTGGCCACCAAAGGCTGTGTCGAACCACAGCGTGTCAATCTGGAAGTACAGTTTTGTTATAACGTCTCTCTTTCAACGTTCTGGACTCATTTTCATTGATCACCATTTATGCCTTGGTCACATTCGCTCCGATCCATCGGCCGGCGCCCGCCCGATTGAGTGTTTTGTTCAATACTGTATTCAGTTTTGAACAAAATACTCAATCGGCCGGGCGCCGTAGTGAAAATCGGAGCAAATGTGACCAAGGCATTAGTAAACAAAACTGTTAGATCTTGGAATGGAAAGTACAAACGGGCAACATTTTTAATCTCAAGAACAAATGATTCATCAGTTTTAAATTGCATCAGATCCAATGCGATCTCACAATCAGTTCTAATATTAGAGAGTACATACCAAAACATTAGAATTGTTCCGGAAGCTTAGATCATTAATCTGGAAAACTTTCTTGCCATCAAGGAAAATCTTGGCAATCCCATCGAATCTCCCGGGAGTGTTGAGTTCGATGAATTGCTGAAGCTTGTACCATCTTCCCGTCTGGAATCTAAAGGCTCCCCTACCAAGACCGATCCCATATGGGGGATTGCAATGAATGTTTGGCCTTGAGCAAATGTCAGGCTTTTGGGATGTAGGGCTGAAACATATTGATACACCTATAGTTTGTAACATATTCTACCATCTAGGGACTTGAACATTACCTTGTAAAAGTGATTCAGTACACAAAAATATATGCTATCCCCATTGTTTTACTAATTTGGCGAATGTGCCTGGAATGGCGATTATTCCAGGATGGACTTGAGAAAGTTTAATTGAATTCCAGTATGGCTAATTCACTGGTACTCACCTAGTTACGCTAGCGTAACAAAATGGAATAACTTCCGGGCTTTGTTTTCGGTAAGATCTTCCATCTTGTTACGCTGGCGTATCGTCAGCGTAACTAGGTGAGTACCAGTGTAATTGGTCTACTGGATTATCACTAGAATATATGTAGTAATACGGGTACCCAAGTCATTTTTGCATATTCTGATATGCGCATGATGATTGAATGGATTTTGTACTTTCCAAAGTAAAGTAGCTTGGCATGTATGAACAACATAACATTACAAATTGCAAAACGCATTCATCAAAAGATTTAAAATCGAATATTCAGTTATTATACTGTAGCATCGTTTGCTTCACTTGTAAACTATTCCAATGGATCCACTAGCGACATCTATCTTCTGATATAATCAGCAAAATGACTCGAGTTATGTAATGTTGTTGTAATTACACTGGCGGATTGGGCCAAAACAAAAGACCCCAAAAGTGGGCTTAACTGGGCCTTTTAAGGCCTTATTTTTTAATTTCAGGCCAAATTTTGAAGAAAATGGGCCTCAAAATTAAAACATTTGGGCCCACTTTTAGGTCGGGTAGATTCCCCATATACATTAATTGTACCCTATGTTATAAAATCATAAAAAGTGAAATATTTTTTTGTATGTTGGACAGGCAATATTTTTCTTTTACTGGACATATTTTAATTTGTATAACTATCAGATACATAAGGGTAATATGAAAATTGAACCAATAAAACTGATGAATATTCAAGTTTAAGGGAACTTTCTAATACCCTACCATATTATTTGTCCCGAATAAGCCACCTAATGGTGAAACTGGTATCTACAGTACCTACTCGCATCTGGGTTATTTGCCAAAATTTATTCGCTTCAAGAAAGGCCGGTTTTTCTTGCGAAATTGCCAATGATGTAATACAGTTATACTAGATATAGTAGTCTCGAGCTCGTACCTTAATACAGTAATACTAGATATAGTAGTGTAACGTCTGGCCTTATTTGCGGTAGTGTGGATGTTGTTATTTATCAGACCAGGTTACTTCGTAGGATACTTGGTACATGTTAAATGTACGCATGAATAAAGAGACACAATATTTAATATAAAATTAACAACATATATTCTGGCTTCATCCGCCTCAAAATAATACAACACAAATCCAGAATTGATACTAAGTTTCAGTTTCAGAGGTACTAATTATAAGTCCTTTATGCAATTATACTTGTATATTTATCTATATATAAAAGTGTTCATCACTAATATAGTTTTTCATCAGCTGAGCGATGCCTATTCTAAGTCCACCAAGTTGAAGATATCTAAGTTCATCAAATGAGTTGTGAATATTCTAAGTCTATCAACTGAAGATGTATGGAATCTGCTAAGTTCTTCATATAAGCGATGAATATTCTAAGTCCACCAAGTTGACGATATAATCTAAGTTCATCAAATGAGTTGTGAATATTCTAAGTCTATCAAACTGAAGATGTATGGAATCTGTTAAGTTCTTCATATAAGCGATGAATATTCTAAGTCCCTCAAGCTGGTAATATTCTAACTTCATCAAGTTGTAGATGTAGGAAATCTACTAAGTTCCTCTAGCCAGCGATGAATATTCTAAGTCCCTCAAGCTGGTAATATTCTAAGTTCACCAATCGTAGATGTGTGAAATCTACAAAGTTCCTCTAACCAGCAGTGAATATTCTAAGTCCTCAAGCTGGTAATATTCTAAGTCCATCAAGTTATGGATGCATGTAATCTACAAAGTCTCTCTAGCCAGTGATGAATATTCTAAGTCCCTCAAGCTGGCGAATATTCTAAGTCCATCAAGTTATAGATGTGTGAAATCTACAAAGTTCCTCTAACCAGCGATGAATATTCTAAGTCCCTCAAGCTGGTAATATTCTAAGTCCATCAAGTTATGGATGTGTGAAACCTACAAAGGCTCTCTAGCCAGCAATGAATATTCTAAGTCCCTCAAGCTGGTAATATTCTAACTTCATCAAGTTGTAGATGTGTGAAATCTACAAAGTTCCTCTAGCCAGCAATGAATATTCTAAGTCCCTCAAGCTGGCAAATATTCTAAGTCCATCAAGTTATAGATGTGTGAAATCTACAAAGTTCCTCTAGGTAGAGATGAATATTTTAAGTCCCCAAGCTGGCGAATATTCTAAGTCCACCAAGTTATAAATATAGATAATCTACAAAGTTCCTATAATCAGCGATGAATATTCTAAGTCCCTCAAGCTGGTAATATTCTAAGTTCATCAAGTTGTAGATGTAGGAAATCTACAAAGTTCCTCTAGCCAGCAATGAATATTCTAAGTCCCTCAAGCTGGTAATATTCTAAGTTCATCAAGTTGTAGATGTAGGAAATCTACAAAGTTCCTCTAGCCAGCTATGAATATTCTAAGTCTCTCAACATATGCGTGAATATTCCTTAAGTTCCTCTGGGCATCAAACTCCAGGCAACTATTGTGAATATTGGCTAAGTCCCTCAATATATGCGTGAATATTCCTAAGTTCCTCTGGGCATCAAACTTCAGACAACTTTGGGGAATATTGGCTAAGTCTCTCAATATATGCGTGAATATTCCTAAGTTCCTCTGGGCATCAAACTCCAGGCAACTATGGTGAATATTGGCTAAGTCCCTCAATATATACGTGAATATTCCTAAGTTCCTCTGGGCATCAAACTCCAGGCAGCTATGGTGAATATTGGCTAAGTCACTCAAGGTAATATCTTCTAAGTGTATCGACCGAAAAATTCTCTAAGTCCATCAAATTGTATGCAGAATTTGTCTAAGTCCCTGAGGCATCAATCTCTAGAGGTGCGTGGAGGTTCCTTCTCATCAAAAGTTGTGTACGTGCCTCTCAGTACATATAGAACCTGCCTAAGATCCTTTAAGTATACCAGTGTAAAATCCTCTAAGTCCCTCAATGGGTATGTCGAATCTGCCTAAGATCCTCTAAGTATATCCTCAAAGTCCCTCAACGGGTATGTCGAATCTGCCTAAGATCCTCTAAGTATACCAGGGTAAAATCCTCTAAGTCCCTCAACGGGTATGTCGAATCTGCCTAAGATCCTCTAAGTATACCAGGGTAAAATCCTCTAAGTCCCTCAACGGCTATGTCGAATCTGCCTAAGATCCTCTAAGTATATCCTCAAAGTCCCTCAACGGGTATGTCGAATCTGCCTAAGATCCTCTAAGTATACCAGGTAAAATCCTCTAAGTCCCTCAATATATGCGAATAATCCTCTAGATTATATCCTCTAAGTACATGTACGTCCACCTAAAAATCTGCTAAGTCCATCTACAGGTGTGTTGAATCTGTCCAAGATCCTCGAAATACCTCTGGGTAAAATCCTCAAAGTCCCTCAACGGGTATGTCGAATCTGCCTAAGATCCTCTAAGTATACCAGGGTAAAATCCTCTAAGTACCGCAGGTTAATTCCTCTTAAGTGCCTCTCAGTATATGTAGAATCTGCCTAAGATCCTCTAGGTACATCAGGGTAAAATCATCTAAGTCGCTCAATATATGTGATGAAAATCTTCTAAGTCCATCAGATATATTCGTAGAATTAGCCTAAGTCCATCAAGTGTCCATCCCTGGAGGCACACAGATCTGTCCTCTCTCAGTTCCAACTAGAAAAGTGCCTGCTGAGTCACCTGCACTGCGTCAAATGTGAAATTCCAAGCAATTTCTAGACGTGCAAAGATAGTCTAGGAACTCCGCGTATCTAGAGATTCCAAGACGTGTCAAGAGGTGCAAAGACCTCGCGTGTAAAGAGCGTGTCAAGAGTTTTGATATCTCTTTGCACAGCCTTATCAAAACAAACAGTATAATTAGACCGGCCACATGTTGTTATGCCCTATAGTCGCGCTTAATTATACTTTACTAGGATTGGAATATAACAATCATTTTAATTTCGTGTTAATAATAATTTGTGTTTTTTAAATCATTATCAAAATAAAATCAATTTAAAAGTATGCGTGTGCGTTTAAGTATAGGCAATAGCTTAGTCGAAATGAGTAGATGTGTGCAGATAGAGATCGCCTATGTATTTTGCTAAATCTGACATTTTTACAGGATCATGTTAAAGATCAAATGAAAACAAGAAATGTGTTTTTCTTAGGTTTATCTACCCTGATTTCGAGTGATTTTAACTTGGACGCATATTCCTAGATATTAAAACAGTTTGAATAATTAACAAAGTCCACTTTGAACCGTGTCAATCAAATTGTCAAATATGTAGATAGCACATGCAGGCCCGAATACAGGGGGGATAGATTGGTTCTAGCGACCCCCCCCCCCCTCCGTGACCATAATTGCATTTTTACCCCATACTGAGCACCTTTTAAATTATTTTGCTCATTTTTGAACTAGCATTGCCAAAAGTAAACTCCCCCTGGAATTTCTTAAAAAAGTAACCCACCCCTTGGCAAATCCTGGCTATGGGTCTGAAACGCCTGAAACATGCTCTGATATAATGAGGCATATTCTGTGATCTGAGCATATCAGATGGGAAGAGTTATGAATGTCAATAAGTGTGATTGTTATCATGTAATCATCTACCTTAATGTCAATACATTACATAATGTAGTAAGGCATTGTACATGTATTTAACAACAGGCACATCCTTCTTCAAAGGACTTCATTTATACTTGTAAAATACCCTTCCAGCGAGGATGCAACAGGCACAGTTACACAAGTTTTATGACCCCAATTAGATGAAATATGAGCTGGGATGAAAGATCTCAAAAATCAAGGGCTGGGAAGATTTGAGATGTCATGGTTTACTAT